CCACATTGTATGGCTGTTTCTTTTTTAACATCGTAGTATGCCAGTACTGGCGCTGTGCAACATAGCCTTTGGAATGCTTCAGCTTGGGGTGCGTCCCAGTGGAAGAGAACATCTTTCTTTGTGAGCTCCCTTAGTGGAGTTTCAACTTCTGCTAGCATAGGTAAGAACTTAGCCATAGAACTCAGGAACCACCGTACATCTTCCTTTGTTGTTGGCTGAGGCATCTCCTTCATGGCTCGTACTTTTTCAGGGTCTGGTTTTAGCCCTTCAGCGGATATGATGTGACCCACATACAGCACCTGTTGTTTTCGAACTCTAACTTTGTGAAAGTTGAGCTTCAGGTTGTAACTCTTGGCACGGTAGAGTACTTTCTCTAGGACTGAATCATAGTGTGAGATGTCATGCCCAGCAACGAGTATGTCATCCATTATCGCGTATGAATGGTCTATTCCTTCTAGCGTTTCATCCATGGCTCTTTGGTACACTTCAGGGGCTGATTTAATACCAAAAGGGAGTTTTAACCATCTGTACCTTTCAATCGGAGTGTTCATTGTTGTCAGAAGGCTGACTCATAGTCTAGCTTCATTTGAAGATACCCGCTCTTGGCATCAAGGACTGTAAAGACTGTAGCATCAGGTATCTTGGCTACAATTTCTTCTACTGTAGGTATCGGGTAATGTTTGCCTTTGACTGCCTTGTTCAGGTGCACCGGGCCTAGGCAAATCCTGATCTTTTCTCCTCGGCTTGAGACAATCATGGAGTTCACCCAATCAGTTGGTTGCATCACTTTGGCTAGGTGTCCTTCCTTTTTCATTTTTTTGAGGTTATCCACGATCTTAGGAAGGAGTGCAGCTGGTTGTCTCCGGGGGCCATGCACCACTGGCTTAGCAGTGGGGGCAATTTTAATGGAGTATGTTCCAGGCATGGCTCCAGATGCATTCTCTCAATCAGGGTGTCGGTCTAAGAGCTCCTTGAGGTCTGTGTCTTGCTGGTGTACTTGCTGCACCAGGTTAAGGGCTTTACAGGCCTTGCCCGAGAGTATGGGGTTTTGCTTGCTGTCAATGACAGAACTTCACCCATGACTCACGGTCCTTAAATCTTTCAGGGAGGGTGGTGTAACCTCCTGGTGTCATTCGGTGCTGACTAAATGACACTAGGATCTGCTTGGTTTTCTTGATCTGGGCATTTGGTGCTACTTGTTGAAGTTGGGAGATGTTAATGACATTAGCATGGGCGCCAGTGTACAGCTGACATCGTAGGGTACTGTTACCCACTTCCAAAGTCTCCCACCATTCATCTTCATCACAGCAGTGTGATTTGTTAGTAACGCCATTCATTTCTAGGCTAGCTATACGTAGTAGGTGTACATTGGCATCTTCCTCATCATCACTGGGGTAGAGCTCCTCATTGAGTGAGTTAACTCGGTTCTTTTGACTTCTGCACACTAGGGGGAAGTGCCCTAATTTGTTACATTTGTTGCAGGGT